AGCCTGAGCAAAGCATATATAAGGAGGGGTTAGAGGGAGAATTCCAAGAGAACAATAACAACCCTAATACGCGAAGTCTTGTCATCAGGGGAGGTATGGGGGTATAGGAGGAGGAAGGTGGAAAAATAGCGGAGGGAGCGGCAGCAGCAGAAACTGAGGCGATAGTGAACAGATAAAAATACGTAAATCGATGTAGAAATAGATACAGGAGGAGAATGACGGGAGAAGGAGAACTATGAAAACAGAGTGAATATGAACAATAAGATAGCATTAGTCAGAAAGACCAGAAAATACATCAAACAGGAAAATTAATTCAGCTACATTATCCAACTTTGTGGTATTAACAACTAACTCGGTGGAACATACTGCAATGTAGAGATGACCGAAGGGAAGGAGATTGCAAGATTGCGACCGATCAAGTCAATATATTTACCGCACGCAGCAAAACTTTGGTTCACAGGTTGTTAGAGTTAGAAGTACATAATCTAGTGGAAAACGTGCTTCGTTGGCTTAAACAGGCATAACACAATGCGAATTTTAAAGCCAATGAAAACCCCAGGTTACAAACCATGAGAGGGCCACATCACCACGCCTAAACAAGTGGACTAGAGAATTCATTGCCTAGAAAATAACCTTCCAGCATGCAGAGAAATAGTTTGGTCTAGCAAGACAAAATGACGATTTCACTGGGAATTCTGTCACCATAGTTACTTTCGTATTTCCTTTGATAATACTAAGAGTGTACGACGTCAGAGGCCTAATAATATAAACCCGTATTGCCAATAAAAGCAAACATGCGAGTCCCAGGAAGTAATTGAGAAGAAGACGATTCGATCCCTGGGACAATCCAGCGATCGAGTTGTCTTCTTCTCAATAAACCTGTATGATAAAAGGTTTCATGACGCCGTTCGCTAATGAATGGAGAACCCGAGAAAGACAATAAAAAACGGGGGATGAGTAAGGATTTGCCTTTCGAATAAGGGAAAAGGGGAGCAGTTTTGGTGCTGAGGATGCAACTAAAGCTCAAAGCAACTTACCTGACTAGCAACCCCAAATATGCAAAGTTTTGCGGTCTCGATGACGGACCCGAGGATGGCCGGGTCACTCAACATCACCGAGGCATGCGCAACCAACCAGGACGCGAGGCAGTGATAGGCATGAATTATGACATTGTGCACTGGGCGTGTGTGATCCTTTTGCTCGCGTTTGCACTGACTTGCGATAAACTGGCAGATGGAACGTACACAATTCTTGCCTGCGGTACAAAATATTAAAAAAAATAAAGGCTAAGAAAACGAAATAAGTCATTTGCAACTTTATATTGTCCCGCAGTCACAGAAATGGCACTCCTGCTTCAGTAGGCAGGTCATCATGTGACATCTTAGGAAATGAGTCCGAA